TCCTGTGCCTTCTCCAGGCTGACACCAGCCCCTCTCACTTCGTGATTTTAACTGGACATTTTAATAATGGGGCAAAGACAAGCACAGGAAAGCTCCTACCAAACAGCACACCCAGTACTCTTGTTCCCTGTAGCACACCTAGGAAACACCTCCTGGGCTTGCTGGCCTGAGCAGGCTCAGCTGATGGTGGGAGCAGGTGAATGCAAATGAAGGACTCTGTCTCCTACTGTAAGGCATGTAGTGGACATACATCTGTTCTTGAAAAGCATATTCATACTTTGTAATGCAGATGTATTTCCCCTGGAGATGATCTGTAATGCATCAGAGGGGAACACACGTGGGGAGGTGTGGAAGAGGTACTGTACTCCTGCTGTCTCACACCTTTCCTTAACAAGATGAGCTTCAGGGATTTACAGTCAAACAAAAGGTGAAGATGAACCTCTTGTAAATGGTAGCACTTAAAATTCTTGCTGCTTTGAAGCTGCATGCTGAGCAGATGCTGCATGCACAGCCATTGCCCTCCTGAGATGTGGGGTTTAATTCACCTCCATTTATGTCACCTGTTCCCCACGTGTTTGTGTTACACTGCTCAGCTCCCAAGGTGCCTGTGGACAAAATGAGCTTTTGTTCCACCTTGTGCTGCTCGAGTCTTGCTCATTCTGTCACAGGGTGTTGGGCAGCACGAGCTGTGGCCAGGCTGAGCCAGACATTCCGAATCAGTCCCACAAAGCTCTCATCTGAGGAAACTCTTGGTCATCTAGCCGTGTTCTTACACCTCCTGCAGCATATGGTGTGGGGGTCACTGGGGAAGTTATCAACAAGTTTCCAGAGAAAAGGAGCCTTTCGGGGGGGTCAGCCTGCCTTCCTGTGTGAGTGGAGCACTGACTGCAGTGATGCCTCTTTGTGGGAACCCACTTGCACGGGGAACAGATGGCATGCTCTGAGGGCTTTGGTGTGCTTGTGCTGGAGCTGGCATTGGGGGTGACACATGTTGGACTCCTTGGGCAGAGGAGGAAAATCGTGGGGAGCAGTCAGGAAGGCAAGCTCCCTGATGGTCCTTGCAGAGTTCTAGTCATCTGAAGACCAGAGCAATGTGCTGCAGAAATAGGTTGTCCAACTCTAGAGTAAATGTTAAGCCTGAAGACAGATATGGTTGTGGGTACCCAAGGAGCTTCTTATCTGGAACTGCATTAAGTATCTCCGTGGGACACCAGAGAGCATGCAGAGAGGAGCTGGAGTGCCTCACAGACTCACTACAGCTAATTCTTGGCATGATTTGTAATTATAGGACTCTTGAATCTGCTTATTGCCCCAGGGGAGTGTCTTGCACATCTTGCGTTGGAAAACTGTTGCTCATGAGCACAAGGCTGCATCTACAGCACTGAGCTGAAAGGTTCTGAGTAAAAGAAAGCCATATACTCTCACTTGTGTACTTGTGGCGAACAGAGAAAGGATATTTTGTAGAATTAATTCTAGTAGCATTTGGATGCATTCTCCAGTGTCCGTGACTCATTCAAAGAGCCAGTGAAAGGATGGCACAAGCCCATATTCCAGGGATATGCTGCCAAGTGTCTCAGGCTAGCTGGGCTAGAGCTCTGACCCTTGTCTGCAGGACCTCAGTCCTCTACATTAGTTATGTTTCCCTGGACAAAAGCAGCAAGATGTGGATAAACCTGAGATAAATATGGTTTCTATAGTCCTTGGCACTTCTTTAGCAGAGAGAAGTTAACCAGTGTAGTTTATTAAATGTCTTACAGCTCTTTTTCAGTCATGGTTATCCATAGGTGACCATCTATTTCCAACATGATTGTACTGGAGGGAAGTGGCAGGGTTTGCTGCAGCAAATTCCTTCAGCTGCCAAAGCGAGGTTTAGGGCTTGGTGCTTACCATGCTGCTGCAGTACAGATACATCCTTTAAGCATCAAGAAAGAGATGTGGATTGGCTTTTTTTTTTCTTCAAAAAATGACATTTTGAAGTAGGTTAAATCTACCACTTTTCCACATTTTCTTAGAGAGGGATTTTTGTCTGGCTGTTGTACGTGCTTTCCATGAGAAATTATTTATGAGCTCCTCAATCCCTCGTCTACTCTTCTTGATGTAACAATAGTAGATCTGGAGGAATGACCAAGGTTAGTTTTATAGTCTTGCTTCAGATGTAGTGCCAGGTTATTCAGTGCTTCGTTTTGTTAGTGCCTGAACCAAGGGGCAATTTATCTCAGCAATGTCCTTCAGATTATACCTATATACCATTTTACCAATAAGGCATGCACCTGCTGCTCCAGTCCCAGAAGAAATCAATGTTTCATTTCAGAGATGCCAGTTCTTTGCTCTCCCTCCTTTTGCCATTCTTATGAAGACAAACTTTTTAGGGGGCATGGGAAGAAATACAGAAGAATTGTGGAAAAACCTCCCCTACTTCAGCTAGGACATCCTGTTCAATTACGAATCATAAAGAAGCTCGCTGAGGGCAGTCAGGGTTTAAGTGGTGAATATACAGGAACAGGATGGGACATGCCCTTTGTTGGGGTCTGTATGGACGGGATGGGGCACAGCCTTTGTTGGGGTCCCCTCCAGATGATGGGCCTAGACTGCCACAGTCCTGGAAGGAAGTGTACAGTGTGACCATGGCATTGCTGTCTTTGCTGGACAAATGCAAAGCTGTAGCTCAGTTCCTTGCTCACAGCCAGTTAGCTATCCTGGCACTGGTGTAATTCTAATACATACTTTATTGCTTGTCAATATTTTAACCTTTCTGGCACATTATCCCCTAGGGCAACCGAGCAACCTTAATAATATAGCTGATAATTATCATCCTGGTGAATAGAGTTATCACTAGGTCCTGTATAAATCACGTGGAAAAGATGACAGATTTCACTGGCTGATCATTACAAAAATGGGAAGAGGTGACAGCTTAATGGGGAAGGTAATAAAACCAACAATGAAGTAATTTATAATATAGGCAATGATTCTCAGGCTTTTCTATTTGTTTTCATGCTAATAGAAGATAAATGTCATATTAGGAATAAGACCTGAAATTTCTATTAAAAATATTTGGAAAATTTCATTAAATATCAGCAATTCCCAGCTTAAGAAGTGGCAGCATGGGTCTTAATTACCTCTCTTAATTACCTGTATGAGGTCCTTAGAACCCAAGTGGGGAATAATAGTATTTGCTTTGCTTTCTTGGTGTGCTGCAAGGGGTGATGTTTCTAAATGCTGGCCACTGGTGGAAAGCAGGACAGCAGTCCTGGCAGGGATCCTGAATTGGGTACATCATGGCTATTTTGGTAGGCTGCAGGTTTCACAAGAGATCCAAGCTGTCACAAGCAAAGAACAAGACTTCAGCGCAGGTGTGAGAAAGCCCTGCAGCAGTACTGGAGCTGTGAGAAAGGGAGGGTGCATTACAGAGTGGACAAAGGACTAAGACACACTCACCAGAAATATATGACGGACTGGTGTTTGCACCTGTAAGTTACCTGTTAGTATTGCTGGTTGGTCCTCTGGACTGCATGCTATGAAAGTGCATGTGTGCAGCCTTCAGCATTTATACTCCACACTAACAAAAGGTTTGGGAGTATGAGTGAGCTGCAGTGGGACTGCAGAGTGAGCAGGAGTGTCCTGGGAAATGGCCACAGCTCCCTGGGTGAGACCAGAGTAACAAGCAGCTGAGAGAGCAGCAGATGGGAGGCTGCCAGCCCAGCTCTCAGTGGGAGCCTGGGTGATCCGGGGAGGGACCGGGGCTGGGGCTGGAGGTGCTGTGGGCACTGTCGTGTGTTGAGTGGGTGTTGGGGCTGAGCAGGTGAAGACTGGCGTGGTGCTCCCCAGCAAAGTGCGGTTGCTGCCTGGGCATCATCCTGTGCACTGCCTACCTGTGGAGCCAGTGCTGCCATGGCTGGGAGAGCAGGAACACCTCTTCCCAGTCAGCAACCTGGCCTGGGCTGGCTTGGCTCTGGATGGTCTCCTCAGCAGTGATTAATGTGAGGATGTCTCTGGGATGCAAGCTGGGGAAGGGAGAGCAGTGGAAAATATATTTGTGTCTGTGCTTAACATTCACAGTGCATTCTCTTGCATTTCTTCTAAACAAGCACTATGAGGTCTGAGCCCCAGTACCTCTAATCTAGTGAGGGCCTTATTGATCAGGTCTTGCTATTTGGTCCCCTGAGCTGCCTCGTGTTGCACAAAAGGGATAAATTGCTCCTTATACTTTCAAGAGTCAGAATGTTTTTAGTGTATGTAGACCCATATGATAAATACAGAGGCACAGCTGGGACAAGACTAGCAAAAAGCAGAGGGATAATTAACAGCTGGAACAGCACAAACTAGTTCCCAAGCCCAAGCCCTGAAGGAACACAATACATTCATCATGCTGCTCTCTGGGCTGATGCTGCAGCTCTGGGGTGCGTAGTATTGAATTACAGTCTCTAGAAAATATTGTTTGGGGAATGTTGAGGAGAGCTGGTAAACAATGTGCTAGAAGGTGACAGATACATTTGCAGCTTCATATAGGGCTTTCATAATAAAAAGAGCCATGTGGGGTTTTCCCCTCTCTGCCTGCCTGTCAGAGCTGGCAGCAGGCAGGCTGCCAGGCTTCAGTGGGGGCCAGCAGGGCCGGCAGCCATTGGGCTTGCTTCCTTCTGATGACTGTTTTCTTTAAAATATTATTTTGTTACTGTGTGAAGCACTAACAATGGCTGATAAATCTCAAGCTTAATGAAGCACCATCCGTGATTCAGCTGCTGTAGATAACAACATATACAAGGCTCTTAACACTGGATTTGGACACAGTCTAGCCTGGACACCCCTTCTGGACTCTCCTGTCTTCAGTGTGGTGTTACAGAGGGTGGCACAGAGGCTCCCAGCTCAGAGCTGCTGCCCACATGATCTGGGCACAACTGGTGATCAGGAGCTGCACTTCAGCCGTGTGGAGGTGTGGAAGATGGAGGCAGCCAGAATCTATCTGCTTTGTAAGATGTTTTCCTTTCTATCCCCTTTCTTCACAGGAATTTATTCACAAGACTCTAATCTAGGATGACCCTTCACTCCTACAAACCTGCTGATGAGTGATGGCAGTGTCCCCCAAGTCGAGCTCACAACATGCTCAGGAGCTGCCTTCCTCTGGAGCATCCTGGATCACAGCCCCAAGGCCCTGAGTGCAAGGTGTACGTGTGAACCAACAGTGAAGCACACACCAAGGTAAGGGAGGGGGAATCCTCTGTTCTCATTCAAATGTCACATCCTTCTGGCAGCACAAACTAGGTACTTGCTTGCTTCATTGATTAAATGGGGGACTCCCACAGCCACAGTAACCGGTGGTGTCTGTGCACAGGGGGTGAACAGGGGATGAATGGTGAGGTTTTCTCTGTGTGATGATGAAAGGGGAAGTTTTAAGGTGGTTTGCTATCAATTAAAAAATACCATGAGAATCTTGAAGACAGAAAAAGACACACAAGAGCTGAATACATGGGAAAATCTGCAGCAGCAGTATGCTGCTTCTGGACGGATTTTCCTGCATGTGGAGTGAGTGCTCCCAGCAGCACTGGAGCACATGATGCGCACCTGGATTTCTGGTAAGGATGCATCATATGCTTCTGCAGAAGATGTGGGATTTAAGGTTATTCCATCCTTGCTTATGTGCCACCCCCACCCCCAATGAACATGGGTGACAACTGGTATGGCATTAGAAATACTGCTCAAGGAATCCTGACTGCCTGGGAGGTCCTGAGCCAGGGAGCTCCGACTCAGATGCTCAGTGAGCTTCTGCTCAGCTTAGAGTTTCTGGGTCCTCATGGCATCAGAGTGGCAGAGTGTGGGTCCACCTGCCCAGGCTGGCCAGCTGCCAGAGGGGAGCTTTTGTGGTGGAGAGCCAGGCACCCAGACAGCTGTGGTACCCCAGCAGTGGCCAGCCAGGGTTGTTCTGGGGGGCTGCAGTGGGGCAGCTGCTTCCCCTCCAGCTGACTAAGGCAGCAGCTGCTATGGGCTTTGTTTCTGCTCCAGAGTAGTGCTGTGATTACAAGACAGACATAAAGTTGCAGAATCATTATCAAAACCTAAAGTAAAGTATTCAGCTCATAAAAAATGTGTCACCTGAACAAACAGAAGAGTTACAGCTTTCCCTTCTCCCTCTTGGAGCCAAAAGGAGGGTGTGCCACTATAGCAGAAGCCTGAGGAGCCAACAGTGGCCAAAGCAGAGGATTTCACTACCCCTGGAGAAGCTCTTTCACATTTCTTTGTCATATGTTTGTATTTAATGCACTGGTTAGGGGCAGGACTTGCAGACAGCCACTCTCTGTGCATGTGAATTGGTGTAAATGTTATGTACGACCATCGTCAGCTCTGCTCCCCAGGAAGATTGATACACAGAATGAATCTTCTCAAGCTGCTTCTGAAAAGATTCATGACACTGCAGTGAAAGTTGCTTCCAACAGGAACCTCTGTGTACTGGTGTCAGCATATATTTTATTCCCCATGACTACAAGGGCTGGTTAGGTTATGAGCCTCCCACTGAAATGGACTGCATACAATTGCCAGATAATTGGTTCTTTTCCTTGTAGGCTGATGAAGTTATGGTTCACCTCTGACTCCCCCAAGAGCAGTAGGCACAGCACCATGGGCTGCTTATCTCTCATCCAGGTGCTCAGCCTGTCTGTCCCTTCCACCTAGCATGGCCAGAGGGGAAGCCCCAAGAGTAGAGGGCAGGGAGCAGCTGCTGAGCGTGGGTTTGACCACGGGCTTGCTGCCTGAGCCGGCAGTGGGGCTGCAGGACCGTGCAGGTTCGTAGGGTGCCGGTCCAGGCTGGGGGTGGTGTGGCAGATTCAGCTGCAGAGTGATGCTGAAATCAGGTCACTGTGAGCATCGGTCCTTGACAGGTGCTGTAGCCCAGCTGTCTGGCCTTTGTCCCTGGGACCACATACTCATCTGTTGTGGCATGTCCCAGCTGCTGCTAGTGCTGGTGCTGCAGCTGCGGCAGAGGACACGTGGAACTCTTCAAATCTTGTGCTGATTGTATCTGGCTGCAATTGAAGGCTCAGGAGACCTTGGGAAAGAGCCCCTTGCCTGCCTCCCTGTCTGATTGATCTTACCAAGGGGCCATGACTGATCTTGAAAATCTCCCTGCTCCCAACTGAGCAGTCACAGAGAAGCATCAGATATCCATCTTCCCCCTTTGGTCTTGTCCTCCTTTGGATAATGACTCTCTCCTCCAACACACCTACTCTCTTTCTGCTGGACCTCCTTGGTGTGCAAACATGTGGCTCCTCTATGCTGGCATTTTAGAGTGGGATTTGAGCAGTGTTGCTGCTTGAAGCCATCCTGTTGCTTGCTCCTCTCCTCCTCCTTGCAGGTCTGTACAGCATCTTCACCCAGTGTGAGAAGTGGCGTAGGGTGGTGGGAATGCTTCCACTGGGAAGGCCATGCATGCCAGAAATATGTTTTCATCAGAAAGGTCCTAAAAGAACTGAGTCTGCCAATCAAGCACTCTACAAACAAAGATTAATGTGCACCCCTCATGCTGAGCCACAACTCTCTGTTTATTGCATTTTAACATTGTCAACAGCGCCTGCCGAGGTGCTCGCCGTGCTCTGCTGACCTCCGCTATTTGGGATGGCATATGAATTGATTGTGGTTGAAAGAACTTTACTGGAATAAAATGAGCTTCTCAATTATTGCCACACAAATAAATCTCTGTGTTTCAGTAATCCCCCCCCCCCCCAGGGAGCACTTCCAAAACTCTGTGTTCTTTTAGGACCTTTCTGATGGAAAATTCTTATTTCTGTAGTTTGGCTTTTAGGATGGCTCATCTACTTTACTGGGCACCCTGTGGCAGCAGGACTGTCCAGGACTGCTGACACCTTCCAGAGACATCTTCCCAAAAGGTGTCAGGCACATAAAAGCTGAGAGTGCTTGGGACTATCCCTGCTAAGTCCTCTTCCTCATGCTGCCAGTTACAGTGCTCTGGAATATAAAACATGGAAATAATTAAGTAGATTAATTAGCTAACGTTTGCACAGGACCTGGAAAATATAAAGAACTATATAATTGCTAGGTACCGTAGATTAATTAGTTAATGTTTACCCAGTGCTTTGTAAATGTAAAGGCAGCATAGCAGTGCTAAGTATTATAATTAATTAAGTTTTCACTCTTTGTAAGATTTGTTTTGGGCAACAACAACACCAAGAGTTCAGTTTTCCAGTTTGGCTCCACAGGAGGGAATGATGAGGGGCGCGATGTGACCTCCAGGGATGCCACTGCAGGCAGGACAGGCTGCGGGGTGTGAGTGACATGGTCATGGCCATGGCTGTGGAGTGGGGCCTGCTGGGGTCTGGCCTTGCTTTGTGCTGCTGGTGATGGTGGCTGAGTGCCAGACCTGTGCCTGCAGGAGCAAACTACAAGGAAACTGGTGATCTGTGTAGAAGATCCCTGAGCAATGTTAGCAGGAAATTCCAGGGGCAAAAAAGTCTTTGCATTGTGTTGGTGCCTGTTACTGTTCTGTGTTTCCTCCAAACTCCTCTGGACACTGTGAGGGCTGGTTCTCAGCACAGTGATGCACTGGGTGACTGTGTCCCGCTGCAGACACTCAGAGGGGGTACATGAGGGCTGGGGGGCACAGGGCAGGGGATGGGGTGTAGCAGACTCGCTGTCTTGCTGCGCAGCAGTCCCATTGCTGCTCCCATGCCTATTGTCTAGACAAGCACATGAACTCTTCCCTTTGGGCTCCAGGAAACCCTGCATTTGGCATGTGTCCAAGGGTGGTTTGCATGTGCACTGTGGCTGTTTGGGCATGGGAGAATGAGGATTATTGCCTGGTGCAGTCAGCTGTACGTAAAAACATGTTGTGCTCTTAGAGGGCTCTACATAAGAACAGCAGTTGCAGCTTGTTTGTCTCTTTTATCTGTCTGTGGCAGCTGCTGAGGGCACATGTGGGTTCCACACTTGGATGTCACTGAGATGCAGTTGTTCCTGTGCAGATCTGCAGTATGTGAAACCCTAGAGTGCAGGCATTTCCTAGAGACCAATGTGAATAGTTGGAAAAGGCTGAAGGAACTTGTAGGAACTTGGATGACCTCTATGTACATACAGTTCACTGCAATAAGAAATACCACTGCCTCACACTAACAAATGCTGCAAAGAATTAAAAACTGCCTTTCATATTTCTAATTTTCTTTATCCTGTTTAGTCTGTGGAGCTCAGAACCAATTCAGCAGTTCCTGTATTATTCTTAGAATAACTTCCCCTGATTCTTACTTTTTAAACAGCAAAGGAGGCAAAGTACTATCATCCATTCATTAACAAGTTGCTCTATTACTCTGCCTGAACATTGCAGCCTCAGTGTGCTCCTGCCCTGGATCAGGGAGATGTGAAACTTACCCTGTATTTATTAGTAGATAGAAACTACTCTGTCTGTGCGTTTGTTTGGGTAAATAGTAAGAGCAGGATTTCCCATGCTTGTTCAACAAGTTAATTCACTTGGAATTCTTCTCCCAGACATATGCTCCCACACTGTTCCTAATGATCTGGGTTAGTAAGCAGAAGGCACTCCTCTTCCCATGCTCATGAACTTGGAGGGAGGCGATGACATGATATCGATCACTTTTGGAGACCTCTTCACAAACACTGTGAATCTGATGGAGTAACTGGAAGTGTGTGTTAATCACACCCAGTCTGTAATGGGCTAAAGTGGCAGGCAAGCCAGGAGATGCAGTGGAGGGGAAGCTTAGAGTGTTGAGCCAGTGGCCACATGAGGGAACCGCTTCAGGGCTGCATCACAACACCACTGACTGTCATGTGAGTGCAGAAGCACAAAGAGAAGGAAGAAGAATCTGGTCCTAAATGAACAGGAAATTTGGAGCCTCCTAAGGTTCACTGCCCACCCTGCTCCATTCCCAGTTTGCTCTGATCATCTCTTCCTTTTCCTGCTAGGCATTGTGCTCATGTGTAGGACTGCAGCTCTCTGCAGAGCAGGACATACAGAGCCTCTGGGGTGGTCTGCTCCAGTACTGGGCGTAGGACTGTGGTCTTCTGTCCACTGGCAGCTGTGTGCTGCTGTAGCTCTGGCTGCTCCCTTCCAGTGCTGCATGCCCAGGCATCAGTCTCTGTGTGGAGGTGTGCCAAAAGCCGTGCTTGTAGTTGTGTCACTGATGCTCTGGGAGATAAATGGGAGGGGGAACAACAGTACTTTGCTAAGCATGTAAGG